ATATTATTTACGGCCGTATCTGAAACGATTAAACCATTTGGCGTCCGGCGTCGTCGTTTGTTCTATTTTTCGCGGCCAGGCGAGATTATGTGATTTTACGCCTGGTATTAGTGTGGCGCTGGCCCGTGGGGCGGTGGCAGCACGCCGTCTTCCCGTGCAACGACGCGGCGGCGGCCGCGCCGCCCGCCGGCGCGGTGTCGCGGATGCAAGAGCAACAAGTTGCCTTTAAACTCCCAGTCGCGAACGTCTAATAACATGCTGCGAGAACATGTTCCCAAACTGTTCCCTTTATGGCCCCGGTTGTTCGCTTGGTGTTTGTTGTTTAGTTATTGTTAGTTTGTTGGCTGTTACTTCGTTGTTTGTTGCGTCGTTGTCTGGTGTTTTCGCTTTGTTCGTCGGTTGGCTGCCAGGGGCTTCATTCAGTCCCAGTACACCCGCAGTTTGTGAGGCTCCTGCTGACACATCCGCGTTCGCGGTGCCCGGAGCAGAGCGGCCCGGCACTTGGCTGCCGGACTACGGGCGAGTCGACGGGTGGGGCGAAGGGGTTGGACGGCTCAAGGGAGCCGGAGGCGTGGCTTGCGGGATGCCTGCCTTATCAACGTGCCGATTTGAAACGCATTTCGTCTATTGCTGGATTCGGATCAACACGCCTGACCATTTTTTACAGCTCGAGAAACCCGCCTGCGCCCAACATACTTCCTGCGATTTCTGCTTTCACTGGTCTAGCCCACATACACTACGTGCACGCGCTACATAGTCTTAGGCCTATGAGTCCTTACTTGACAATATAGGCTGCCTTATATATACGCAGAGCACTGCTGTTCTGGAAGAACGGTCTGGAAGAGAGAGTAGTTTACGTTCGTCAGGTCGTGCTGGACGTGCAGTGTGCAAAGTCTGTCCCGTGGGTAGTAGTTGTTTTCTATTGTCTATGTGCGTGCGTGCGTGCGTGCGCTGCCGTGTGTCCGTGTGCGCGCGGTGTTTTGTGACATGCATGTGTGGGTCCGCGCGCTTGTGACAGCGTGAGTGTCGGCTCGTGTGTGTGTGCGCGCGTGTGAGTGTGTGTGCGTGCATACATGAGTGTGTGCGCGCGTGTGAGCGTGTGTGTGAGGATGGACACTATATTACAACCACTGATACTTATACAGCCAGGAGAGACAAATGTCAATCTCACATTTCTGTACTGAGACGAGTGAACATAACCGTACTATAGATGAAGTTGAACTTTGGAGCTTTTTTATATGATCAGAATTCATAACTCGTAAAAAAAATTTAATAATCTATCTATGCCTGTGATTACGATAAGGATACGGGTGGTAATCTTAATTATGTCTGTTTTAAATGTCATATGTCAAAAATAAGGCAATAACATGCTAAGTAAACAAATTTATATCATTGAATACAATTGTAAAAGTTAGGCTGGTGAAGGGTAAGCAGCAATGCAAATAGATATTACTAGCCTTTCACTGGAAACTACATTGTTATTGCGTGTACGTGCGCGTGTATGTGCGCACATGCGTGTACGTGCACGCACGCGTGTATGTGCGCGCATGCGTGTACGTGCACGCACGCGTGTATGTGCGCGCACGCGTGTACGTGCGGGCATGCGTTAATGTGTGCGCACGCGTGCGATCATGTGCATCTGTGTACGGCAGATACGTACACTCTCGTACACCTGTTGTACACGGGGAAGGTACACGCGTGCGCGCACGTACACGCGCACGTGCACATGAGGAGGAGGTCGGCATCACGAGCATGGACAAATCCAATGGGAAACCCCTCCAGTAATCCACTGCCCTCGTCGCATCTCAACTATGTGACTGTGCACGAGTCTTTGCGCCTGCATGTACGTGCGATACCTCAATAATTTATACATGCAACTCGTGCACGCCAATAATGCCTATATATATCAGGAGTGGATAATAGGGATCCCTATTATCCACTCCTGATATATATCCATCGCCCCACGCGTACGCTCGCGGTCGACGCTGACCGCTCGATCGAGTTGGCCAACTCGCAGTCGTCAGTGTAAACGCGCTGCACAGTTCATAGAACGGTTGATAGAGCGTTGGGAAGTTGGTCCAATTCGCCAATTCGCCAATTCGCCAATACAAAGTAAGCTAGTTAATTGGCAGTGTAAACCAATCTTTAAACAATGCCGTGATGTGATGTGATGTGCAATGAGTGATGTGTGTGTTTGAGCACACACACACGCGCCCACACGCACCCGCACACGCATACGCATACGCATACGCTCGCTCGCACGTACGCACGCACGCACGCACGCACGCGCGCACACAGAGAGGGAGAGAGAGAGAAAGAGAAAGTTTAAGAATGTGCGTTAGTTCAACATGTCTTGATAATAAAACGAAAATTACATGATTAGTTATAGTGATCTTTAGT